AAAGGTACTGCCTTTAAATTCAAAGGCCAAAATTAAAATATAAAGGAACCATAGGATTTAATGTAAATGAAACTGTTAACTCTATATCTCTGCTTTAAACATGGAGGTATCTCTATTAGCGTGCCATGCCATAAAAAGTAAAACACAACGATAACAGCAGTAATGATAACAATACATACATGAATGCTAGCAACATGTCACTCTCTGGTTCACCCTCTCACGCCATGCTATTTCATTATTTATATTACTGTTATGGAACCCAGGAGTTGAAAGTGATTGCAAGAGTTTATGAGCAGTGCAGAGTTATCTTCTACATGACACTTGTCAGGTGAACATCTAGTTTTGCTTAATATTTCCCATAGTGAGAAACTTACAGAAGATAATGAAAAGTGGCCCATTCCATTGTTGTACAGTAATAATATTCAGATGTTTTTGTTCTACCAGGCTACATGTACTTCTATGTATTAGGCCAACTTTGGTTTTGAAAAGAACAGACGTATGTTTAATCTCTTCTCCCCATAAGAAGACTTCAAGGCAGCAATTATATTTTATCCTTTCTATGTTTAATTATCCCAGGTTCACTGAAGCAGTCATCATAAGGAGTTATATTAGTCAGTTTTCCGTCACTTACATATTTTATGTTGACTTTGGCTCTATTGCTTAGGATCTACGTCAGTACAGTAAAACACTTCTAGCACATGTGGCAGAGGAGACCTATGGACCTTATGACATCTAGGAAGAAGAATGATGAAGAGGAAGAGGAAGAAGAAGGAGAAGAAGAAGGAGGAGGAGGAGTAGGAGAAAGAAGAACTACTAGGCTCCACCACTCAAGTTATCTTTGAACTCCCAATAGCACCACAAGCTATGGTGTCATTACTTGATACTGTTTGGAATTGGTTATAAAAGTAAAACCCAGAGCAATTATTCCCTTTGGTGTCTGCTCCTTCTTCACTTCTAAGAAATTAAATTTTCAGCCACATGAAGACAAGAATCTGTTTCTAGTCTTAGAAGAAATAATTCTGAAATTTGTATATATTTGATGGCCTTACAACTATTGTCTTACCTACATAAGATTTCAGGTATCAAAAAAAAAAAGATTTCAGGTATCTAAATATATATATATATATATATATATATATATATATATATATTAGCCATATGCTCTATGTAAATGTATTTTTCAAATTTCATATAAGTTATTGATCTATCCTTACCCTTCAACTTTATAAAATATACTCATCAAGTTTAAATATTAATATTTTTGAATTTCTACATAAGTGCTCATTTTTATGAGCAATGTCATTTCACAATCTTTGGTATACATTTACATTGTTGTAGATTATTCTGAACTTCATTTGTAGACAAAACTCAAAGATGGCCCAGAGGATGTCTTTCCCTAGTGTATGGACCATGAAGAAGCCCCTCTCACTGAATATGATTAAGGCTGTGACTATCATATCACTTCTGTGATTTACTAATTGGGTGATTTAGAATTGATAACTAGGGAGATTTTCTTGAGTGGGACTGAAACAATCAAGTGAGCTCTTTAAAAGGAGGTCAAGTGTCAGAAAGAAACTTTTGCTAGCTTAGAATAAAAAAGTAAGCACCTGTCATAAGCTCGCACAGAAATCACATAGCAAAGGTCCCTAGCAAAAGATCATCAATGGAGACTTCAAATACAAAACTGCAAGAAGATGAACTCTGCCAACAGCTAGTTAACTTTTATTTCTATTCCTAAGAAATTTACTTTTTCTACTGTTCTTAGATTACCTTTCCTACAGTTTAAGTGTTCCTAGATTTTCCTGATAAAAATTACCTGTGGTACTTGATAAAAATATTCCACACTTAATTAATAACAAGCTACAGATGATGGTGCTTCTTTATCTTTTTATGAGTAATACTTCTTTGCACATCTTAAACCATGAAACGCTGGTTTATACCATGATTAGAACAGCGAGAGAACCATCTGATATACAGTGCTATCCTTTCCTAAATCAAAATACTCAAAGGAAAATAAAATGAAAACTCCAAATGTGCACCAAATTCTTTCATTTCTTGTCCAGAATTTCAAAATTACTATGGTTTTATTATCATTCAGATCTGGTAATAAAATATATTTTCCAGTACACCACTGTTTGATCTGCTCCTTTTTACTCTATTGATGGAACACAGATGCCCATCTTAAAAGTTTCTGAGTGTGATTCAAAATATAATGCTTAATTTGGGGCAGAGGAGACTGATATCAGTTTATTAATCATATATCCTCTCAATCTTGTGAAGGGTGACACCACATGCCACACAGGGCCACATAAGGATTTCAATCCAGGAGAGAGTAACAACCAGGAACCTTGAAAACTCCACTTTATATAGGTGTGGGGCGAATCCTTAGTCCCAGCAGGAGGAGGTAGGAGGCTTGGTTAATTAATTTATGGGCTATCACAGAACTGAAACCTACATCCAAGGATAAATAGGGAATGTTCTTCATGTATTTGATCTTATTAGGCTGGAGAATCTTATCCCCGGGAGCACAGTGGGTAGAAAAACTTCTGGATAGGCTTTTTGAAACTCAGTTTCACCAGATGTAAATCCAGCATATAATATGGAGTTTTAATTTTAAGCTTTCCACCATGCACTATCTTCAGTAAATGGATAAGCAGTAGTCTCAACATATCCTGAATACATGTAACTAAATGATAGACTACACTTCACCATGATAGACGAGTGAATATTTAATAGATATTTACATGTAGTCACTCTCTTAGCATACATTTAAAACAACAACAACACAGGTTCCTGGATTCCATATGAATATATATCATGCATTTGTTTACTATGAAAGTATCAAATCCCCAAATTATTAATGGGGAAGGACATTCCATTATTTTAATCATGCGTTTTAAGTCTGCTTTTAATGTAATTGATTTCAATTGTGCATATCACTTAGGGAAGTTTCAAATCTTTACAAACATCCTAATATTCTCTTTTCACTTTCTAAGTCATTATATATGAACTCTAGGAGAGGATGTTTCTGGATCAAGAACAATTAATATAGCTTTGGGTACAGCTGTATGTCTGGATTGTATCTGGGAACAGAGAATCTAATTACCGCTGTCCAATAATCCCACACTGTCCCACCTTTTTCCTTCCTATTTTCTTTATTTGCTTTACCCTCTGCTTAGCATCTTTGCAAGTTAATGAAACTTAAGGAAAGAATTCAGTCTCAAATTTAAAAAGAAGACAATAAGGTATTATAACCTTTAGCCAAAATTTGTTTCCTCTAAAGTGGAATGAGCCTAAAAGCTGATGTATTAAAGCTGTAGAACCTTTATGGGATGGATATAATCCTAAAACATCGTTAAGGCTGATGCAGGGAGTAATCTAATCAAAAGGATCAAAGTGACCATTAAGAATATAGTTAAAGTGTCATTTCTGTGAAAGAACTCTGGGATGTTGAGAGATTTTTCTTTCTAAATGCCTGCTTCATAAGCACATTCTTCATTTATTATTGTTTAATGTCTATCAATATGTAACATACAAAAGTGGGAAAGATATATCTGTTTGAGCCTCAGGAGACAGCATTAATATTTGGTTCATATGTTCCTATTCACATGGACTTCTGCTAACTGAGAGTAGAGAATAGTATTTGTAACAAAAACAATTAAATGAAAAACCCGAACATTAGTGAGTTGAGCTTGAAAACTTTAGGTTATGAAGTAATCACAAAAATCATGTATGTCGATGTAATTGTTGTAAATGTGAAACTTGATCTAGTTTAAATCATATTTAATCTGAGATGGGCAATGGTTCAGAAATGTAATGTTTCCATGTTAGAGATGTTAACATTCATTACTATATTAGATTCATGTTTTTAAAACTTTTTGGACACTGGGCTTAGGCCCAGAGGAATCTTGAAAATCAAAATTGACAGTACATATTTAACTATCATAACCACTCAGCAATTATTCTTAGTTGCTACAGTCTCATCCAATAACTCCACAATCTAGGAACTTGTGTGCATATTGAGATTCCTATGGAAGTTATAGCATTAATAAAATTGAGTTTTAAATTTCCCTAGGCTCAACCTAGACATTAAGAATATAAATGTAAATTAACAGAGAAGAACTAGCAGCCATGAATACTAACACTCAAATCACATTCATTTTCATTTAAATTTTACACAGACATCAGGGAAAAAATTTTCTTCCTTTCCTCCAAAGATTTTATATTAATAATTTTGGCAGTTTTCCTGGGATGGAACAACATGGAATGTAACATATTTACATTGATTAGAAAGCACACATATTGAAAAATAATGCTTGATAGATTATGTTTGCTTTGTTTCTTACCTAAATAATCTACTCTAAGAGTTTAAGAAGATTCTAAGTTTTAAGAATATGAGTTGAGTTGAGTGTACTTATTAACCAGTAGTTTTTTATTTTTCTGTAAGAATCCATTCATAGATGCCTATGATATAAAAAGAAAAAAGTAAGTAACTAAAATAGCCATCAATAGAAATGCTTCTAAATACTACAAAATGAAGACAAAAAGAAAAAAATAATTTGCCTATACTGGAATTTCATTACACCACAATCTGATAGAATATGGGATTTATAATATATATTTTAATTTATGCCCTTTGTAGGAATAAAATGTGACCAAAGTTTCTGTTAGCAACAGATGAAGTCTGTGTGAATCTGCACTTGAACTATGATTTTCTTTGACCAATAAAAGATGGCAGAACAGTGCTGTGGTTCTTCTGGCGCCATGACCTTTCATGGCTTTGCATCTTCTACCTTTGGTAACTTGGAATGCTTCCCTAAAACGATCACACTAAGATATTGGCATAGCCCACTAGAGAATGAAAGACCATATGGAGGGGCACTGAGAACTGAAGCATCCAGCAAACACCCGGTTTGTCTTGCCAGACATGAGAGTGGTGCTGCCTTGTACGTTTTAACCCAGCCACCCTCCAGGTGAATGTAGCTACAAAAAAGTGTCCAGTGCTCACTTCAACAGCACATACACTAACATTGGAATGATACAGAGAAGATTAGCATGGCCCTTGTGCAAGAATCACATACAAGTTTGTAAAGTGTTCCATATTTTTAAAAATGTGTCAAGAAAGAGAGCAAATAGGCAGCCAATAGAGTAAATAAGCAGCTCACCCACAGAATCATGAGAACAATAAATTGCTCTTATTTTAAGTCTGTGAGCCTTAATGCCATTTAACATGCAACAGGGCTGGATAGACAGCTCAATGGCACATTTCCTGTGTGGCAAGCACAAACAAGGTCTTGAGTTCCATTCCCAGTACAAAAATAAATAACAGGAAAGTGTAGTCAACCAATAGAATATGAGGTCTCTTTGAGAGAGACCACATGGAAAAAGATGCTGAGAAACACCAGCTGTTTCACCATCAAAGCACCAGACCTATGAACAAGGCCACATGGGAAGAATCTAGTCCTAAATGATCTTTCATTTGGACTGTAGCTACATTTTTGAGCCTGGACACCACCAGCATAAAGAGTTTCCATGTAGCCTATGAAACTGAGAAATGACAATTTGCTCTTTTCAAACTTCCAAGTTTTTCAGTAATTTGTTAGGCAGCAATAGGTAACTTTACATATGCTAAAGAACCCTAATTTACTGGATATATAGAAATTCCTCCAGTTTGGATATGATTTGTCCCCCAAGAAACACTAGGTCCCTGATGCAGTAGTGTTGGGTGGTGACGTGCAGCGTTTCACAGGTGAGCACTACTGAGAATTAACTGTCATGAAGGTGATGATTTTGGAAGGAATTGATGCACTCTCCTGTGACACTGACTACTTCTCACAAAAGCATTGTTGTAAAAGACTGAGTTGATTCCTGAATGACTCCCTGGTTTCTTGTCCCACTTTGTGACTTCCCCTTCCTGTACACACTCCAGTCATCATGCAATCTGCTTTGTGCTGGTCGGCCATGCCTGTGCCATGCTCTTTGGACTTTTAGTCTACAAAACTGTGCAATAAATAAACTTCCTTTCTTTGTTAGTTACCCAGCATCAGCTTCTTTTTTACAGCACCAGAAAATGGACTAATACAGAAGTGTCATCATTTAAACTCATTATTATTTCTTAAACACTGTCATGGTATACAGTGATGGTATTACATCGCAATGCCAGATTTTAAAGAAAAAATTATGTGGAATGAAAGGCATGACAATGCCAATTATTTAATCATAACCATCCAATTAGAACATAATATATATTACATACAGTATATATCCCTTAATTGCCATGACCTGCACAGCAAATGGGGTCCTGAGAGGTAGCAACGGGAGTTAAGAAAAAACTAGACACGTACTAAAAGGAAAACTGGCACCTGGTGGGACCTGACCTCTCTAATGGAGAAGCAGTGACAACCCAGCATGGTCTGAATCTTTATTTTTACACAGTAAAAATGAGGGAAGTGTGCAAAGGGCTGAAAGTGAAAGATTTCAGTGTTTTGCTCAGCACACTGAAAATTAAACATTCTCAGAGTTATCTGTTCGGTAGTTAACAGGGAAGTACTCCAAGCCTAGACACCTGCTGAACTAGCTTTGCTCTAGTCCTGAAAATGTGTTTATGTGTGTTGTAGTCAAGAGTTGTGCGGAGAACCATTTGAATCAGGACATGGAGTTTATATTATTTTTATAATGGTCACTGGGAGTTAACAAAAGAAAATGCAGGAAATCTATCCACAACAGCAAAGACATAGAATATTTAGTCAAGAGCCTCAGTCCCACAGCAGTGTCCCACGAGTCCAGATAAAAACCCAGAAATACCTCCTATGGGTGCAACTAGAGGTCCAGAGACCATAAGGAGGACTCACGCTAATTTCTTTTACAGATCCATACCGGGAAGGCCGAAAGGTCAGCGGTGGAAGCCAGAAAGTCCATGCCAGCGGGGTAAAGTAGCTGTGCTGGTGAGATGAGGGTTCTACACTGAAGCCAAGAAGTCACACTCACAACAAAGACCAGGGCTGTCCTAAAGGCACCACAGCCATCCTCAGCGACACAGTGGCCCCGAGCCCCTCCCACAACAAGCACAGTGGGGAACATGCCAGGAAGCCAGCATGAGGAGCTCATCCTGGAGACCAAGCAGCACACGTCTTCTTCCCCTCCAGAGCCAGGAAGCAATGCTCAATGTGAGGACCAAAGCTTCTCCAGGAGAACCAAAGGCTCAAACAGTAACTCGTAGGAGAACCCACAGGGCCTCAACGCAACGCAGTAAGGCATCAACACATTAACACCCTCCTTCTCCTTCTCCACCTATTTATGCTGGCAACTTTCCTCAGGTGAACATCTTCACCCAGTGCCATGCTGATGTAATCCAGCTGGCATTAAATTTACCACCAGTCCTTAATCCATAACAATGTGCCTCTCCTCTGGCACTCTGTGTTCTTGGGATTGACCTTGTGCCAGCCTCACAAGTGTGCTCAACTGCTCCCCACACTTAATTCTTCCAATTACTGTTTTAACTTTGTTTTAGAAATAAAGTTTTTAAATTCAAAGTTACCCCCAGTTATTTAGATAATATACAATATATTATTCTTATTTATCTATGACATGTCCTTGATATTATACAAATAAGAATAAAATAAATTGAATATATATCTAAATAATAATGATAAAAGGAGGATGGAAAAAGCCCTCAAAAGGAAGTGGGTCAGAGGAGAGCATTTCAGGATGAAAGTTAAAGATGGAGCATCTTAGAAAAGGCTGCAGTCTGAAAAACAAGTGGATATAAGTCTGAAAAAATATGGAGAGACCAGTAGAAAGAGAAAAGTACATTCCAAGCAGATGAAAGTGTCTTTTGAATTAAATAATTTTAGATTTTATTCATAACAGTATTTAAGCAAAAACACAAACTGTCGCACTGCACCAAATGTTCATTCAATGGCCTGTGAGAAAACCAAACTTCACAAAATTTCAGGGGAAACAAAAGCAGCGTTAGCCTGAGGCATTCTGGAACTTTGATCAAGGCATCAAGTGCCCTGCAAAAGCAATAAGCCTACTATTTGGTATTAAATAATTTCTGCCGATTCTCCATTTTGTGCTTAGTATTCCTTTGTCGATAAAACAAAGAGGTCCTGGAGAAATGTGCATTATTGTAATGATAGTAACAAAAACGTGTTTTTATAGATAATTTGGAGATAAAAATCATAACTTCAAAATGAAAGTCAAGAATAGGTAAAAGATTGGTAGTGAATAATAGTTCTATTTTTATTTTTAAATAATAGCTTTCTGATTATGGAGTTATGTATCAGTTTTGGAAAATAAAATATAGAATATAAAAGGAAAATTTTAATTGTCAGAAATTTCATAACGTGACTAATACTGTTACTTATTTTCCAAACCCTTTCCCTACACACTTATTTTTGGTCTATTTATTCTAATTAGTTTGATTGGATTATATACCAATTCAATCTGTAGTTCTGCAATTTAAAAAATATATGGAGGATCAATTCAATTTTAAACAAGATGAATTTGAAGTAATTGTGAAATACTAATAGTGAAATATCTAGTCCAACACTAGAGATGCAGCCAAGGAGGAACGTCATGGCAAAGAAAATGATCTTGAAGATGTCAATCTAGAAGTAACTACTGACTCCAGATCATACACACTGTTTGAAAGCATGAGTTGTTGGGGTAAGAAAATAGTTAATTCAGTTGGAATACAGTAGAAAATTTCAAAATGCGTACTAGACTGCAATGTAAAAATCAATCCCTTGTTGTGAGTCTGAGGACTGAATCTTTAGAAACAATAAAGATGCTGACAGGAGGGGAACCACAGTTTTAAGGGAAAAAGACAATCAATGATTGGCACTGGTCTCTGAATCACTTGTACTTTCTTAAAGATTATTGAGGACTCAAAGTGTTATTTTTTGTGCCTTATTTCTATTGATATTTATGGATCACAACATAAAAAAGACAGAAATCAGATATTTATATATTGATTCATTTAAAATAATTGTAATAAACCTATTATGAAATTAAGTTTGCACAGACGGCTTAAAATACTCAAAAGCAGTCTCCAAGAGTCTCTAGACCACACTGAGAATGGGAGATACATAATATGGAGAGGAAAGGAAGAATAAAGATCAAAAAATGTTTTATTGATAGTAAATATAACAATTGGATGGACATGAGCAAAGGTCCTTTGAACTGTACATTAGACCAGATTATGACTGTCTTGACTTTCCCTTAGGTCAAAGTCCAAATTCCAAATCAAGGTCCCAAGCATACTTATCTTCTATCACTCCTTCCCTTACTCAACTTGTGCTTCATTAAACCTTATATACAGTTTTTCCTTGTTATCCTTGATGTGCCCAGATATTTGTTCTATCAATTACCATGGTGTTTTCTCTGCCTGGAATGCTAACTAGTACACAATCTCCAAGTCTCAGATTAATAACCACTGGTTTAGGCAAGCCAACCTAGCCACTTCAATCCCAATCTATATTGAGTTAACTCTGTTCTCTTACAGATATCTTATTCTGTTACTGAAGAGCACCCATCAGTTTAGAATTATGTTTTCCACTGTAGGATGATGGTGTTTATCTTCTGCCGGTACATTGCAATCTCCACAAGGATAGGAATAGGTCTGTTTTGTTTCATATGTTTAGTATTCTTTTCCCAATATATAGCACTGCATAAGGACATAGGTGAATCGCTGTAAATGTTTTCTTAGTAAAAGCGTGAATAACACTGAAAAAGTATATGCAGCCTATTTTCTTAGTCTGAAAAGGAAATATTTGTGTTTGCTGTTTTGTGTGAAAATGTAAACTGTTTCCAATTTTCATATAAAATGCTTTTTCAAATATTTATTATACACTATTCTAATAATTATTAACATCAAATAAGAATGATTAATGTGCGTGAATATAAAAGCTTCTTTTGGCTATTATCAAACATGCATTTTAGAAGCATTAAATGATTCAGTATAAATTAATAGTTACCTGTTAGTCAATCATGATAATAATTGACTTAAAAGGTTATGATGATGAGGTCACAAAGTTAGAAACAAGATCAAGTGCATTTAAATGCCAAGAGAACAATCCTAAGTGTTCTATACTCTTTTCAAAT